TGCAGGGCCTGGGCGTCATCCACGCCTACGACAGGAAGGAGGACTGCATCAACAAGTGAGCTCTGTGCTGGGGCTCCCGCGCTCAGCTGACCCCAGCGGGAGGTCACAGCAGCCGATGGCTGGTCTGGCTCCGAGAAGGGAAGTGTGGGCTGCTGGGGGCTGACCGCAGACGAAGATCTGGCGGAAACGAGGAGGAGCTGCCCTTGGACACCTGGTCTTCCTTCCCGGTGTCCGGGGCCCCAAAAGACGCGAGCTCATTGACAACCTCAGTGTGAGATTTGATATGTCTTATTTTTTCCACGCTAAAAGTAAACCGCGTTCAATTTAGGCACATAGGAGAAAACAGAAAAAAGGAAAACACAATCATCCATAGGTCCCCAACCCAAATCCTATTAATATTTTCATATATTTTCTCCCAGTCTTTTTTGTTGTTCTATTTCTGAAGGATTTATGATCATTTTGGTCCTGTTTTAATTTTAAATAGCAGTTTTCATGTGATTACATATTCCTTGTCAAGATTAGTCTTCAAAGGCCACATTGCATTTCACTTCATGGATAGGCCAGGTTCTTTCTTTTTAAGATGTAGGGGCTGGGTTAGAAAAATTTTCTGGAGTCTTCCAGCTCCAAAACTCTAAAACACCTTATAATCACTGTGTATCAATCACAGTAGACTCACGGAGGGAACAAAGAACTCCAGAGTTTAGGTGCTTAACACGATACATGTTTCTTCTCCCCCAAGTCACAATTGAATGGGGGTCCATGGGGTAGGGCAGGAGACTCTGCCCCACACTCAGGTACACTGTGTCTTTCCATTGGGGCTTGTCCCATCTCGAGGGTCTTGGGGACTTCTCCAGGGTCCTCTGTGCCTAACTGGAAGATAAGGGGAGAGATGTGGGTGGAGGACCCATGGGACATTTTTATTGGGTCATCATTTCTGCACATTCATTGGTCAGATTCCAGTCACATGGGCTCACCTAACTGCAAAGGAGGCTGGGAAATGTAGTCCAATTGTGTGCACAGGGGGAAAATAAAACGGAGTTTGGTGAATCTGTAGGAGTCTCTGCCACAGTGATGTTCTTTCCCTTCCTCCCTTATATTTTCCTTCCTTAAAAACCTAACACACACTTCAAAGTTCGCGTCTAATTCTCTCTCTCTTCCTGCAATTCGCCACCCAGGATCTCAATGTGGGCTTGGCGTCCCAGCTTGTCTTTGGTTCACTCAGCAGCTAGTCCTCTGGCTAGTTTGACCTGAATGTCACCTGTCAGGAAGTCCTGCGTCACACAGTGAGCCTTCCAATGTCCTGGGCATGGGGAAAGGCTTCTGCCTGCAGCGCCGTTCCTCGACTCATGACAAACAACACAGACGGAGTGTTGTCTTCCTGCAGAGTCTCCTGCAAGGCTCCCCGAGAGCCCTGCAGGGGAGCTGAGCCCTGCGCGACTGACAGGCCTTCCCTCTCTCAATGCTCTTTCCATGGACTTTCCGGAGGGCTTGGGCTTCTGACAAGCATTGCTTTTGCCACCGGACAAAAATGCTAAAGCATTAATTAAAAAAAAAAAAAAAAAGGTTTGAGGTCAAAAGGTCCCATTTGGTCCCATCCTGTGAGTCTGTTTCTGTGCGATCTACCCAACCACACAGATTAGACCTGCAACGGCGTCCAAGTCGCTTACGCTGCCGGTTGAATGTGTAGGCTTTACAGCTACGTGACAGAAACCCTGTGGTGTTGACAGGAATATTTTAACGAAGCTCTAGGGAGGCCAAGTTACAGGAGACAGGAAGGAGAAAGGCGCTGTAGGGCCCAGCCTGGCCGGTCAGGGGAGCTTCCCAACAGATTCCTTTGGCGAATCTGAGGACAGGGTGGAACAGTAATGCCCGGGGACGTTTGTGGCTGTGCCAGTGGAGGACGCTTAGCTCTCCAGGGGTTTAAACATTGAAACGTTTTCTTTTTCTCCCCCAATCATTTCTACCAGTTATTCCCAGTGGGTCAGGGGAAGCCTCCGTGGCAATTGAATCTGCTGTCTCTTTTGGTTTGTGCTTAGCTCAGTCCAGTTGAAATTTCAATCTTGAACAGATTCAAGACACAGCCTCCCTCTCCCACCAAGGGCCTCGGAGTGGCCACGCTGTGCTGCGTGTGTGTGTTGGGCGTGGGGGCAGGTGTGCCGGGGGGAAGCACCGGGTCTGTTCTTGTAATCACCCTCTCCCTTTTCTCTGAGCCCGGTCCTCTGATGCTGGTGCAGGGGAACGGGGTGGGGAAATACATGCTCAGGTGACCGCCATGTCTGGGCCATTCTCTCCTCTCTGCTGCTCCAGCTCCCTGTGCAGATGTGGGGTGGCAGGGTGGGGACCCCAACAGGACCAGCTCCCTAGCAGCTTTGCGAAGGCATTGCCGGTGGGCGAGATCTGCCTGGGTCTTCCCGTGAGCTCCCCCTGGCAGCCTCACACTGTGTTCCTTGGATGTGGGGCTTCTTGGCCTCATGCTGAGCAGCGGAGGATCAAGACTGCAGCCCAGAGGCCATCTCCCCTTTGCACTCCCAACTCCAGGAACTGCAGGAAGGGGCTGGCTGTGCCTCTGTAGACCGGGGGCACAGAATGAGCAGCTCCGGGGGTGGCTCGTGCCTTCATCCCTTGGCGGTGTCATTCTGTCACTCTGTCCTGTGCGCCTTCTCCTTCTCGGCTCATAGCAGGAGTCCCCAGCTTTGTAAGAAATGATCTTGAATCTTCTTTCTCTTCTTTGGGGAGGGGGACCAATCGAGTAGCCTCCCTTCCCTCCTGTACCATCACAAACATTGGCTGTCCCTAAACGTAACGTCCTCCACAACCCACTCCCACCCTTTGTATAGATCAAGAAGCAATGGTCAACCCACAAGGTCTTTGCGGGTGGCTGACTCCCAGATACTGGTCCTTTGAAGGTGGAGCATGAGGTCTTCAACCCCTTTTGTTCTCAGCTGTGGGTTTCAGTTGCCAGTTCTGGGAAAGACAGCAAGAGCCCACTCAGCACCTACTGCCACATGGGGTTCCTCAGAACACATGCAAATCAAAGATTTTCAAGAGCGTGGGTGTACGCTCATTTTTGTGAATGTGCATTCGCCCTTGAGTAAGAATCCCCCTTGCCTTCTTCCTCCAGTAGCCCTAACCCTAGGTCTGCGGAAGCACCACCTGATCTCCTGTTTTGTCTGATTTCTTGATTTTAGATTTAAGATGTTAAATGATGAAAACTCCAGCCACCTCCTGTACTTTAACTGTGCTCTCAGGTGGTTTGCTCTCAGAATGGATGTCCTCATGAACATCGTCACCTGCATTGTGGCCTTGTTGGTGACCCTGAGTTTCTCCTCAATCAGTGCATCATCCAAAGGCTTGGCGTTGTCCTACATCATCCAGGTAATGCCTGGCGTGGGGGCTGTAGCATAGAGTGTGTCAGGGAGAGCGGACGTAATAGAAAGCCCAACCCAAACGGGTTTAAACCAAAGGAGAGCTAAGTGGTTCATAACTTTCAAAGCTCTGGCGGTGTTGTGGGCTTCAGGCATGGTTGGATCAAGGCCCCTGGCTTTGTCCTCCTCTGATGACTTCCTTCATGGCAGTGGTGATCAGCAGCCTCTAAGGGCCATACCAGGAAAAGAGCAGGAGGCATGCATTTCCCGCCCTAGCCACTGAACAAAAGCCCTGTGCTTCACTCTCACTGGACTAATGTAGGCATCCCAGAGCAAATTAGTGGCTTGACAGGATTGGGGTCACTGGTTTAGGCCAAGAGGTGGAGTCACACTGCATCTTCCCCCAGGTCACCCAGCTGCCCCGTAATGGGGAGAGGGAAAGGATTGGGGAGAGCCACCCATGATGTCCGTGACAAACGATCGCGGACTCCTCCTCTGGTTGCTTTGGTTTTCTTCTTTTGAAAAGTAGTAATAGTGAGACACATGCCATTTATTATATTTCAGACACTGTCCTTTAACATAAATTATCCCCACAACGGCCGTATGAGATAGGTGCTGCCATACTCCCCATTGAACAGAGGAGGAGACTGACGCTTAGAAAGACTTGCCCAGGATCACACACCTGTCATGTGTGAGAGCCCGTGTTTGAAACCATGTCATCTGGGTCTGATCCCATCTGAGACTGAATCTCTTTCCTTGACATACGCCCCATGTTCTTCTCTCTGCAACTCTCATCCTCGGCGCTCTGAAACCCCAGGATGTCGTATCTGAGTGTGGGTCCTTTTTCATTTATTCTGTTCAAGGTTGTGGGTTACTTTACACTGACGTCAATTCTCTCTTCGAGTTGGAAAAAATTCTCCTTTTTCTCGTCTTGACAATTTCCTCATCCCCTTTTCCTTTGTTTTCTCTTTCATAGTGGGTGAATATTGAATTGCTGGCATCAACAATTTCTTGTTTCCTCTGTTTCCTTTCTTTTATCTAAAAGTCTCCATGTTCTTGTCTTTTTATCTTTATCCTGGGAATTTTCCTTGGCTCCGTCATTTAGCCATTCTTTTGAAATTTAAGTTTGGCAATCATATACTTGTCTCCTTAATTTTTATAAACTGTTTCTCAGTCTCTGAGTTTTTAAAGGAATCGCTTTTATCTAGATGCGATATGTTTTTCTAAATTTCTCTGAATATATTAATTCGAGGTTCCCTCCCTTCCTTAAACTATCCCCTCTCCTTTGACTGATATCTGTTTTTTTTTTCCAGAATCAGTTGTTCTTTTCATTTATCTGGTTCTTGCTCTTTTGTACCATTGGTTTTGTCCATGTCTCTCTTGATCCATTTGTATTTGAGGGTGAGGGACCCGGTGGGGTTTTCAGGGTTTCCTTGGCCTTTGTATGCCTTGCTGGGTCTCTCCTGATGCGAAGTTTTTAAATATGGGTGGGTGGGGAAGGCTTTTGCACAGCTGGCTTCCTTTCAGGAAAGCAGCCAGGGGGCTGGCCTTTAGGAACCCAAATGTTGGATTTAAGGGGTTTTATCTAGGGTACTGCTCTGGGAGCCCAGCTTATCCCCAGGTAGTTCAGTCAACTTTTTTAGCACAGTGTGTGTGTGTGTGTGTGTGTGTGTGTGTGTTGGCCTAGGGATGAAGTGTCCAGCTACCTCTGGTTGGGAGTGCTTGTCCATAAACTGACTAGTCAGTAGCCTCTTCGTGGGCCCCTCGTGACACCTGGAGCCTGAGTCCTGCTAGACAGGGCACCCTGTACCCTGCTGAACATTCTGCCTCCGTTCTAGCAAAAGGCTTTCATCCTTTTTCCAACGTCCGGAAATTTGTAACTCTCTCCTGTAATGATCTCTCTCCCCAACCCCCATGCTGTTAAAGGCCTCTTTTTTCCCCCTGAAGAATCTGTTATCGTTTTAATGGTATTTTGGGAAGGAGGAACAAAAATATATTCTCAGGACTCTGTCTGAAGTGGGATGTTTCCATTTGTTGCCTAGAAAAGCACGAGGCAGATGCTGCTGCAGAATTCCCTCCGTTAGCCCACGTGAAACAGCTTTCCTCAGCGGAGGCCATGCTTTTGGGGGCGACCATCAGCTTCCCTTGAGATTGTTTTCAAACATTCCTGCCAGGTTGGGGAACAATGTGCACACACTGAGATCTAGGGGGACGTTCTCCTCCAGCTGGCTGTGTGGCTTTATTAAGTTTGGAGAACACAGAATCCAAATAACAGAGCATCCCCTGAGCACGGAGAAGACTTCCTAGATGAATGAGAAATTGGTGTGAAGTCCCGCAGAGCAGAGAGTGAATGCAAAGGGACGTCACGTAACGTCACAGAGGAGAATAAGCAGTTACTGGGGCCAATTCTAAACCCTTGGAGAGCTGCCCAGGGGCCTAAGATGCTGATACTGGCAAACTTGACAAAATATGTACATGCCCTTCTCAAGGTCAGGGTTCATTCATTCATTCAGCAGCTATGCACTGAGCATCTACTGTGAGGCAGGAACTGTGCCAGCTGCTGCGGGTCCAGCAGCGAGCGAGCTGGACAGGTCCCTGCCCTCACGGCGCTCATATCTATCTAGTTAGATATAAAGAGACATCAAGCGGGGAAGGGAAGGGCTGGCATAAGCAAATACACAAGTACTTGAGTGGGAAAGAAGACTTGAGAAATCGTTTGTGTTGTGGACATAATAAAGTGGGGGTAGTGTGACTGTCAGTGGGGAGGTCACATTAGATCTGTCACAGGACGCCTCTGCTGGGAAGTGACTTCCAAGCTGAGACTCGGATGATGAAGGACCAGCCAGGGATGACAGAAGGCAGGAAGGGTGTTTCAGGCCAAGGGAAAGGCTCGGGGCTGGCAGCAGCTCGGTGTAATCGGGGAAGCCAGGAGTCCACGCGGCTTGAGCAGAGAGGCAGAGAGCAAAGCCCAAGGGCTGGCAGGGTAGCTCTGCAGGCCTCCGCCAGCCACGGGCAGGTGGCCTCTACTCTAAGAAAGGCTCTCAGCTGCCACCTGTGGATGTGACGGCCAGGGAGCCTTTTCTGTGAGGGGCTGTGTGTGCCATGTGCTGTAGGCCGTCGGCTGCCTTCCTGATCTCTAGCCAGGAGGTGCCAGTAGACCCCCGTTCTCCAAATTCAGGAACAACCAGAAATGTCTCTAGACGTTGCCAAATGTCCCTGGGGGCATAATCACCCAGTTGAGAGCCACTAAGCGCATGGGAAGCCAGTGGCGTGTTAAGCAGGGAGACCTGTGAGGGGAGCTCTCCCGGGGTGTGGACCCGCACTGCTCCCCATACTGCCTCCTTCCTGTTAAGGCCACACACTGCTGCCCAGAGCTTTCTCGCCCCGAGTTTGCCTGGCGGGCTTCTTATCGTGAGGGCCTCGGCGCACACTGTCTTCCTTGCCTCCGTATCTAAGGTAACTCCCCGGCTCCAGCCACTCTCCTAGCAGCCTGTCTGACTGGCATTCTTATCATCCCTTGGAATTGCCAGCCCACTAGAACGTGAGCCCCGCGAGTGCAGGGATCTTGTCTATCACATTCACCCCTGGGAACCAGTCCCCAGTCGTGCCTGGCCCAGCCTCTGCCCCACCGGGGAAAGAAAACGTGGTCTCGTCTTGCCTGTAGCCCACCAGCCAGCGTGTTGTGACTGAGGCAGGTGCTGTCGGTGCCCCAGCCTCCCAGGCAGGCCAGCTGGCCTCTCACTGCTGCCGGAAGGTGCTCAGTCCAAGCCCAAGGCGGGCCTCAGGTGTGGGGGGCACCGGCTGGGATGGGCTCTAGTGGCGGTGTGACCCAGCCTCCTCAGGGCAGCTCAGGTGGGTTCCATGCCATCTCCCAGAGCCCCCAGCAGGATGCTCACAACTGAATCTCTTGTGTCTCATCTTCTCATCGTGCCTTACTTCTCCCAGTCCTACTGGTACTTTTGGGGGTCACCTCCTGGATGAGTTTCGTAGGGCTGCTGTGACAAATCACCACAAGCTAGTGACTTAAAACCAGAATTATTCTCTCACGGTTCTGGAGGTCAGAAGTCCAAGATCAAGGTGTCCTCCCTCTGAAGGCTCTCGGGAGAATTTGTCCCCCCCAAATGGCGTCCCTTGGCCTGTAGGGGTTTCGCTGCCATCTCTGCCTCCTCTTTCACATTTCCTTCTCTTCTCTGTGTCTTCTCCTGGGTCTCGTATAACGACACTTGTCATTGGATTTAGGACCCACCCGGGTAATCCAGGATGGTCTCAAGCCCCTTAATTACACATGCAAAGATCCATTTTCCAAATGAGGTAACATTCACAGGGGTTTCGATGCCAACACACGTTTTGGGGGGACTACCATTCAACCTGCCCTAACACACTGCACGCACTGGGCTCTCGCCGTTGGCTTCTGGGGATCCTGGCCTGTGGTGGGATCCACACCCCCAGTCTGGACCTAGATTTCCTCGTGCTGGAAGCAAGCAGACAGGCTGGGCTTTCCGCCACGCCTGGTGGTCTGCGGTGGTGGATCTCTGACGCTTGTAGGCTGTGGGTGGGGTCAAGCGGGGAGGGCGGAGAGCGCAGGACCCCACCAGGGGGCAGCAAGGGGCCCGATACCCAGCAGTTCTGCGGCCCTGGGGGAATCCGGGCCCCACAGGAGCCAAGCGGGTGCAGTGGTGGGCTGATTCTCACCATCTGGAGTGCGAGGGAAACTGTAATTACCATTTGTTTTCAAATACAAAGGAAGCGTTTAAAGAAATAGCTCCTCCGCTTGTGGGCGCAGGGCTGGGCACGTAGGCCTGAGCTTTGTGTGGTCCTGAGTGGGGGTGGGGGTGGGGGAGCCTTCCAAGGGCGGCCCCTGGAGGCAGAAAAGGGCTCTAACCGCTGCTTGTTGAGCGGACTGCTCCAAGTGTGCGTGCGGACCGGAAGCGGAGACCCAGGCCAAGTTCACCTCGGTGGAGCTGCTCAGGGAGTACATTTCGGTAAGGAGTTGGCACGTGCGAGAAGCGGGACTCAGGGGCGCTGGCAGCATTCCTGCGCGCATTTGATGTTTTTACCAGTGAAAGGGATCCTTTTAAACACTGAACTCAGACCACAACCCCTCTTCTTAAAACCCGTATCTACAATACAGCCTTGATGTTGAGGGAGAGGTTCTTCTTTTTACAAACAATTTCCCCAAGGCCGATTCTGTACACAGAAACGAGAATTCCGTGGCTTACTGCAGTTTCTAAAATTAATATTTGGTTGACTAAAATTGTAAAGTGAGAAAGAACTAGCCTAACACTTGTTTAAAAGCTTTTATGGTTAACTTGCAAAGCCTGCTATTCCCTGAAAAGTAGCCTGGCCAGTTCGAGCAATCAATCACTTTTAAAGGCCACTGAATAGCGTTTGGCCCCATTTACAAACTTAAACACTTTGAAAATGTTTTAAACTGGGTTTTAAAACTTAATACACTCCATTTCCTTTTTAAGTACCCTGATTATCTGATTTCACAAACAAACTCTCCTGAGGTTACATAAATCTAATAAACTAAATAGAGTGGGCTCTAAGTTTGCATAACAGTCCCAATGCTGTATATAAGCAGTAAGCTTTTCGCTTAAAATCATGTTTAAGTAAACTATTCAATTATGATTTTAAATTAGAATCACAAGACTGAATGTTATTAATATTACGAACCCATAAAACATCAAATATTGCAGATTCCTTAAAAATGTTACTATTATGATTTTGCTTCTCTTAAATGTTTTTATTATTAATTCTAAACCTTTTAGAAGTTAAACATACTCACTGTGTAGAAACACAATTATTTTCTCTGCTAACTGTGGTTGCTTATCGACCAGAGATTCCGACCGCTGGTGGGCCGCCCTCCCAGCTCTCATGGGGAGCCCTTACTTCCCGTCACTCACAGGGACTTTTTAACAACTGGAAAGGAGGGGCTGTCTTGCAGTGCAGCCAAGTCGCTCTACTCCTTAATTAGACTTTGCATTTCTTGGGCTCTTTGGAAACTTAAATGTCCTTTCCTTGGCACTCTAAAGACCTCTGAACTTGACATCCTGAATTCTTGTCACCTTCCTACCTCTAGCACTGGGCTGACGCTTGCAGATACAGAAACTGTGTCCGGTTGAATTCTGCAGATCTCAAGGCTTGGTTTGGATTTGTTACCCAGCTCAGGGTCACACTGCTGACACCTGCCCAGGCCCACACGGCTCAGTACGAGCTGTTCCTTTTAGTTGTCCATCTCTTCTCCCTAAGCTCCAGCTGCATGACTTATCTTTCTGTTCCTCAAAGTGCCCACGCCTGTGCTGGCCTCAGGGCCTTTGCACTAGCGATCCACCCTGCCTGGAAGGCTCTGGATGCAAATCTTGTGGCAGGCATCGTCTTGGCGTTCCAGGACTCAGCTTGAATGTCACATCCTCATAGATGCCTTCCTAAACCTCTGAGCTCCTCTCCCTCCTCCTCCTCCTCCGATCACACACGTTCTGTATCCCATTACGACACTCTGGCTTACTGCCTTCATTTCTGATCCCTTTGCTTGTTCATAACCTGCCTTTCACACTGGAAGGTGCGTTTCATGCATGCAGGGTCCCTGTTGGTCTAGTTCACAGCCGTGAACACCAGTACCTAGAATTGTGTGAATGAATGAGTGAGTGAATGAATGAATGAAAAAGGGAATGGGTAATAACCCGTCCCTGGTTATTCTGCTTTTCAGACCTGTGTTCCTGAATGTACTCCGCCCCTCAAAGTGGGGACCTGTTCCCATGACTGGCCCAGCCGTGGGGCGATAACCTTCAGAGACTATCAGATGAGATACAGAGAAAACACTCCCCTTGTTCTTGATGGGCTGAACTTGACCATCCAAAGTGGGCAGACAGTTGGGATTGCCGGAAGAACAGGTTCAGGTGAGGACCAGCTCCGGGTGTGTTGCTTTCAGGTGGCTCTCTCGGCATTTCCCCGGGCCGTGCAAGTGAAGCCACACCAGAGGGCGGCATGCATTGGGGCACATTGGCCGAGTTTTCCCCTTGACCTCTTCACTAGGGTTTCAGGTAGAATGGGTGTGTGGAGTTGGAAGCAAACACACGTCAGGTTTTGAATTAATTGACTGAGAATCACCCTGGTGAAACGAGACCCAGAGGCCGAGTCTTGTGCAAATAGTCGCTGCAGACACGGGCGGGTTGAGGGACGTGTTAGGGCAGCCGGCTGCCCCGCAGAGCGAGCGGTTTCTGTCTGCAGGGTCAAGCCTCACAGAGCTATTTCAATGCATTCAACCTTTCCTCGAATGGGTACTTGGATACGACGGAAGTGCGAACTGACGTTTGAGTTGCCGCCCTTGCTTCCGTTGTCCCCAGGGAAGTCGTCCTTAGGAATGGCCTTGTTCCGCCTGGTGGAGCCAGCCGGCAGCGCCATCTTCATCGACGAGGTGGACATCTGCACGGTCGGTTTGGAAGACCTCAGAGCCAAGCTGACTGTGATGCCCCAGGAGCCTGTCCTGTTTGTAGGTACAGTAAGGTAGCTGTTTTGATCGCTGTGCATTCCTATGTTGGGAGAGTGAAATCAGAACAAGCAGAAACTCTGCGAAGCGCCCACAGTGCGGCCGGCCCGGGCCTTCCCATCCGAGGGAGGCGGCACGCCGAGGTGCTGGTCCTGGTCCCGAGCGGGGCCTTGGGAGGGGCTGAGAACTAGAGCCCTGGACGTTATTTACATTTTATAAACTACATTACAGTGAGCGAGATGCTTCTACATGGGGTGAGCAGATAGCCCGGTTGGCCCTGGAGAGCCCTGGTGTGTGCCTGTGTCTCGGCGTCCTATCCAGCTTAGCAGTGGCCACTCCCCAGAGCACCCCGGTGTGTGCACTAAACTCAGCCATCCGTCGGGAAGTGCATCGGCTCATTCCCACAAAGGAGTGAACAGAAGCCACTCAAGTATAAGAGGGCTGTGGCATCTAGAAAGCTCGAGTTCTGATGTCAAGGCACAAGGAGAAAGCCCGTTTCTCACTTCATCCAGTTCAGCGGCAGACGCTCTACCGAGAGAGACATGACTCCCTACTGAGCAGCAGATGAGGCAGGGCCGTGTTCAGAGTGTACGAAAGCCACATCCCGTGTCTGGAAGCGCCGCTCACACCCCACACAGCCGCTCGCCCTCTGCGAGGCCTTGGGACCTGCAGACGTCGTAGCTGCCCCTGAAGTCAGAGTGAATCGCTCTCCCTTTCTCTTTGCCAAGAGTTTGCAGGTCAAATCCACGTGGTGCCCACGGCCACTGAGAAGACCAAATGTGTCTTCCTGAGCGTCCAGCTCGGCGCTCTGTCTGGGCAGACCTTCATATACCCCTGTCCGCCTTGTTGGTCTCTGTGCCATCACAGAGCTGTGGGTCCTGGGTCTCTTGGCCTGAGGTTGGTATTTTCTGGACCATCCGTTGTGCAGGGCTGAGCACTGCTCTGAGAGCCGCTGGCACCACACAGCACCTCCTGCCTTCCCCTGCATGCTGCAGAAAACCCGCTCGCCCTCAGAAATCCAGCTCCCTCTCCCTTCATTCCTCACATGCACAACTTGGATCCCTTTGGGAGTCACACGGATGAGGTGCTCTGGCAGGCTCTGGAGAGGACGTTCATGAGAGACACAGTAGGTCTTGGGGGCTTCCGGGATGAGTGGTTCCCAGCACCCACGCCCCAGGTACCGGCCTGGGCTTATTTGCTGCCACCACGTATGTCAGTATAACACAACCCTTTATGCGTAAAAGCAGCAATAGGTGATATTTATCAGGCCTGTGCAGTGATTCAGCCGACACCTCCACAAGCATTAGCACCCTGGGTCCTGACTACACTCCTCTGAGGCTGGCACTCCCACCTCCATCTTTAGAGATGCAGAAGGAAGGCTCAGGGAAGTACCAGGTGCAGGCTAGTGAGTGGCAGAATGGAGACTTGAACCCATGTCCGTCTGACTGTAGAGCAGATGGAGTGGCCTGCTGCTCTGCCAATGGCCTCATTCACCTTTCGGAAGCCAGAAGCCACCGGCAGGGGAGGGGCATGGATTGCTCCACAGTGGCAAGTAGCTGGTTTCAGGGACGGCACCAGTGGACCTGAGAGATGGGGGCCTGGCCTGTGAGAGCTGTGACTGGGGTCAGCGGGGAGCGTGGCCACCTCTGCAGCCCACAGGGGATTTTTTCCCCCAGGACTGGGTACCGAGGCGAACATGTCCCAAAGCCACTCTGACTTGTCCTGCTGGATATCTCAGACCCTGTCTTACCTTTCCTTGATGACCAGGAAACTCTCCCATCCCACCTCTATTCGGTCCATGGAAACAGGCACCCTGGGAGCCATTTACCTGTGTTTGTATCTCTCCGGAGCTGTCTGTGCATCATTTGTACTCTTCTGGCGAGGTGTCCACGGGGTTCTATGAATCACACTGTGATTTTAAATTATTAATGTCCGCCCACTCCCTGGTCCGTCCCTGGTGCCTGTTTGCAATATTGAAATGATTGTTGTTTTGCACTTTCTTTTCCTCAGTAAAATAAAACCAGCTGATGAATGCAAGAGAAAGAGGCAAAAATATAGATGACGCAGGACAACTGTATAGATCGCCAGCATAAATGTGGCATTTTCTGTGTTTTATAGATAATGAAGCTCCCAGGAAAATTACAGGCAGAAGTCACAGAAAATGGAGAAAACTTCTCAGTAGGGGAACGCCAGCTGCTTTGTATGGCCCGAGCGCTTCTCCACAATTCAAAAGTAAGGAAGCAGCGTGGGAAATGGATTGGTCAGATGTGGGGTGCTTCCCGCAGAGCCGTCAGTCCAGGAGGTAGAGCCATGCGTTTGTCTTTCAGCAAAGAGAGAGCAATTGAGCCATTTAAAAACCGATCCCTTTTTTCTTGAGACAAACTTGTGAGAGGTAAACATTGAATAATCACAGCCATTTACAGCCACAGCACCTGCCTCTCCTGGGCCTTTCCCCGGGAGGTCTTGCTTAGGTATTCTCTGTCCTGAGTGGTTTGCGTTTGAGAAATCGGCCTCTCAGCTTTTCCCCTGAGTCCCTGAACGATCCTGAGGCCTGATAAATAGTACCCAGGACACTAAAGAAGGCCTTCAGGGTGCAAGGATGTGAGAATGGTAAAATTTATGCTCATTTTTCATACTGACTTAGCCGTCCTTGCTTACGGATTTCAAGGATGGGGCTGCCGTTGCTTTAGAAATCCCGTTCTGTGAACCCACTGTGTGTGTTCTCTAGACGTGCTAATGGCAGGAGAAGGAGTCAGCCCGCCCTCAGTGCCGACTGGGGCGCTCATGACAACTGCTAAGCGCTTCGGTGTTATCTTTGCATTTCATGCTCAGAATCAGGTATAACTCCCTTTTACAGACAAGGAAACGGAGCCTCGGGGAAGTTTAGCCAAGGTCAGGCAGAGTTCGAGCTGAGCTCATGCCGTCGGACTGGCAAACCAGCACCAAGGTGGAATAGTTTCCTCCCCTCCCCCCAAGGTGTCCGTGTCCTGATACCTGGAACCTGTGAATGTGTTGCCTCACCTGGGAAAAGGGGGCTCTGCAGGTGTGATTAAATCAAGGGTTTTGAGCCGGGAGATTATCCTGCATTAGCTGGTGGGCCCAATGTAACCACACAGGTCTTTGTAAGAGGGAGGCAGGAGGGTCAGAAAGACAGAGGGACATGTGACGATGGAAGCAGAGGTTAGAGCCATGCCAGGAAGGGGCCACGAGCCGAGGAACACAGGCAGCCTCGAGGAGCTGAACAAGGCAAGGAAACAGCTTCTCTCCTCGAACCTGCAAAAGGAGCGCCGCCTTGACAGTCCCTTGACTCTAGGACTTCTGACTTCCGGAACTGTACGATAATAAGCTGGCGTTTTAAGCCTCTAAATTTGTGCTAATTTGTTATAGCAGCAATAGAAAACTAATACAAGTGCTGCTATTTTACTGTACCTCATGCTGACTCATGCTAGCATGGTAGGTAACCCTGGGTGCCTCTTCCTACCGGTTTACAGGATTAGAATAAGCCACTTAAAAAGAGGAGTAAAGAATGTGCAATCTTGTTCCTCGGGCCAGTCCCTCTGAAGAAGATGAATGTGGTGTGACATGACTTATTTTGCCAGTTTTTCTAGCTTTCTGAGATGTTGGATACTTAGCTCATTACTTTTCAGCTCCCTCTCCCCACCCCCCACCCTTTTTTTTTTTTGATAAATAGAGCTAAGACCATAAATTTCTCTCTAGGTACAGCTTTGGCTTACTGTGGCTTTTACAATGTTCCTTCCTCAACAGATCATTCTCCTTGATGAAGCCACCGCCTCCATGGACTCCAAGACTGACACCCTTGTTCAGAGTACCATCAAAGACGCCTTCAAAGGCTGCACAGTACTGACCATCGCCCACCGCCTCAGCACGGTCCTCAACTGCGACCTCGTCCTGGTCATGGAAAACGGGAGTTGTTGGCGTCACCTCTCCAGAGGCTTCAATGGTTTGGGCTCTGTGGGGGCGGGGAGTGGATATTTTCTGACAATTTCAGCTCTTCTTCTCTGATTTTTCAGGTGGTCGAGTTTGACAAGCCTGAAGTCCTTGCCGAGAGGCCAGATTCAGTGTTTGCGATGTTACTAGCAGCAGAAAACAAAGTCCCCGTGGGGCCACATCAGCTGACTTCAGAGGAGTGGGACAAGTGAGATGAGCTGGATGAGCCTGCGGAGGAGGGTGGTTGTCCCAGCAGGCGGCCCGGGTCCACTGTCCCTTCCATCCCTGACTCCCAGCTGAGCTGAAGCAGAGATGGCTTTCCTGCCTCTCCCAGCTCCCAGCTCCCAGCTCATGCCTCCTGACCTCACTCGGCGGACTTGGGGCTGGTTCTGGGGTGGTGAGCACAGGCAGAGGAAGCCAGGGGGTTCAAGACCTGCCCCTCACCCCCTAAAATCCCAAGGGTTTCTCCTGTGTCCTTATCAATACCACCTCAGTGCCTGAAAATAGAAACATTGTCACTTTCAGTTAAAAACTAGTCCAAGTAAACAGAATGGACAAATGCCTACGGATGGGTTTGTAAAGGTTTCTTGCAGTTTTCTCCCCATTTAACTGCCGTGCACATCTATTTTGAGTGAGTGACCAGCAGTAACTACACAGACCTGTACCATGAAAAATCGGTTACAGAGTTGGCAAGAAAACTTAAAAATAAAATCATATTGTATGTTCCTTTTAATCTATTAGAATAACCAGGAAAACAAAATATTGGAGTTTCTCTATAAATGACATTTTTATATCTTCTCTGTTGGTCATTAAAATGCAGTAGGAAATTAAACTACCCTGAAATGTTGCCTTGCAATTATTTTACTGGCATTCCAATTTCTGTACTGTTTCCGCTCACAGACCCTGGCTGCTTTCTCCACTGACTCAGTAATAAACCCCCACAGCGTTTTTCAAATAAAAGGCTTTTTATCCAACCTCAAGGTTTGCTACGATGGAGGCAGTAAAGACATATTCGCAGTAGCCCAGGAGTGAGCGCTGCTAATTCACGGTGACATTTGAAAAAGAAAAGAAAATCTGACAGGCCCTGGTGCAGTGTTTGCCAACGGCACGCCCACAGTCTGGCTGTTTCTCCTTTCCGAGGACTGAAGGCTCCTGAGGTTTTCCAGAGTTTTCCTGGCCTTGCCTCCCGGCTCCAGGCTGAGGTCTAGGTGGCAGCCCAGGACAGTGATGGCCCCCAAAGCCTCCGGGCCACGTCTCCCACCCCTCCCCTTCTCAGTCTTGGTCACCTACTTCTCCCCATCCTTCCAAACATGGAGGCGGTGCTTGGCACATATGAGCACTCCAGACTGAGTGGCATGGGTGCAGGACCCCGTGATGACTTCATTCAAACACAGGCCGGTGCCCTGCAGGTCCCTCCCTGTCCCCGTCCCCGTCCCTTGTGTTTGCACGTTGGAGAGGCTGAGATTTACAACAGAGAAGCCATCAGCCAGCATCTTGAGGGCTGGGCTTGTGGAATTTGCTGCCATCCAATCGCTCTCCAGCTCTCCTGGCCACACCTGGGTAGGTAGGTGTGCAGGCCCAGGGGTGAAGTGGGCACAGGTGGCTGCAGGTAATGCTCCCTGGCTGGGGCAGCTAGGCACCAGTGCTGCCGTCAGCACACCAAGAAGCATGTGGTCGAAAAGACCACGAGCGAGGGGCTCCTTTCATAGGCAGCTCCAGGCCAAGTTCAGATCTCCCTGCGAAGGGACAGAGTGAGTCCTTAAGCATCCAGTGCCCTGACCTGAGCCTTCCCCCATCACGGTACATGACCCTGGTCTGAGGTCGTCAAACCCACACCCACTGGGCTCCAGAGCAGCGGCCCAGGCTGAGTGCGGCCGTCACCTTTGACGGGCGTCCAACCAGATCTGGCAGTCCACGCTGGTCGTGGGAATCCGTGCCAGCTGCGTGACGGGGGAGGAGGGCTTTATTTTCTGTCAACTCGGCACCAGCCAATCAGCCTCTGATTGCAGGAAGGCATTTCTGTGAGGGGAGGGGAGGGCAGGTCTACAGGGATCCCTGGGGCTCGTTCACATGCACAGAAAACTGTGTCACCTCCTGCCACTTGCTTTTGCCCGCGGTCCCCTCGGCTTGCACTGTCCAGAAGAGAATGCCCGTCCTGACATCTGGTGAGCCTCGGCGATGTGCCAGGCACCGTGATCGACACTTTAACATCATTTCATGGACTCTTCATCTCACCCACGAGATGGACACTTTATCATTTTACAGGAGAAGCAAAAAGGAAATATGAAGCCAGTTTCTGAAGCGTTTCAAGAGGGATTATATCGAGGCCTACATGTAACTGAACATTTTTGTAAATGTTAAATTTGTAAGGGAAGTTGAACAAAGTTTAACCAAGTTCCAAGTTTTCCCTTAGTGCCTACTTCGATGTTCATTAGAACATCAGAATCTCTTTGAAGTGTCCCCATTTTAATCTGGTGCCCCAGTTCTGCTGTGCTTTGTTCCACTGCCTGCCTCCTGGGTGATCTTATGTTCAACGTTGTCAATGAGAATTTCTTGAATATCCTTTGTTAGATGCCAGCAGAGAACAGGATGAACCAGTTACAATCATTATTAGTATGAATTAATAACAAATTGACCGTGACATGTTTCGCAGTCAATTGCATCCTGAAGCTAATGGTGAGGATGGCTGATTTAGAGCTGGGGTCAGAAAACTGTGGCCCATGGGGCAAACCCAGTCTGCCACCTGTTTTTATAGATAAAGTTTTATTAGAACACAGCCACCCTCATTTGGTAAGCTGTTACTCATGGCTGCATTCACACTGCAATGGCAGAACTGAGTAGTTGCAACCAAACATACGTCCTCAAAGCCAAAAACATTTATTCTCCTGGCTTTTTACCAGAAAAGGTTGCTGACTCCTGGTTTAGGCACTGGTATGTGATGTAATTCAGGTCAGTGAGATGCGAGGGGGAAGTCGGCTGGGGGCTGGGGCGTGGGCTCTGGAAAGCATTCTCTCCTGTTGCCTGGTGTGCATGTGGTGTCTAAAGCTGTACAGCCATGCTGTGAGCATGGAGGAAGAGAAGGGAAGACCTCCCTGGGACGCTGCGCTGCTAGTCCGCCCACCCTGCAGGGACCACGCCTCTTGTCCTTACGTGTAAGCAGCTTGAGTTGGCTTGCGGTTACTTGCCGCCAGAAACATCATAAAAGACGCAGAAGATGGCGATGACCTCCTTCCTGGGAAGGTGTTCATCCTGAACTGAGGAAAGGAGAACCTGGGTCCCTGCCCTGGGACGTGCACCCATCTTCCCCCACCTTAGATGTGGCCCAAGTGGGCACATGGAAGCAAGGAGTTTCCAGGCTCATCTGCCCCGAAGAGTCGTGCCATTTACGAATATTTTCCTAACCCGCCCTCCCTGCTGCCCGAGGTCAGAAGGCCTAAGAGCTCACTGATTTTATTCTTGCTCTTCAAACAGATCTGAAATTGGCCCAGAATTGTTGGCTAAAATGTAAAATAGTCTTTGCTAAGAGTTGAGATCACTTTGGCCAGAACAGCATGATTTAAAATGAATTGAAAAGCGCAGGAGGTCATTTTGGGGTCAGATGGACCGATCAAAGAAATCACTTTTCTTTTGGCCCTGTGTACAAGGTCACCAGTGGGTGATGCTAAATCGAGCACTAAAACCTTCAAATAAATGCTGATCTCCATGGAGAGGGTCTGACTTCGTGAAGTGCACATTCATTTTTCTTAGCATAATGTCTTCAAGGCTTTTGTCAGCATTTCATTCCTTTTTAAGCCATCCTAATAAGTGTGGTAGCTCATTGTGGTTTTAATTTGTCCCTAATGTTCAGTGATATAGAGTATCTTTTCACAGGCTTATTGGCCTTGCATTTCTCTTAAAGAGGAATGTGCACAGCATGGACAAATCTTAACAGAAGATACACTGTTCTACCATCTTGCAAAGTTCCTTTTCTAGCACAGCCTCTTGGATGAACGTTCTCACTATGTCGGCATATGGACAGGAACTTAGAGACTATAATTACCAGCTATGGACTAAGCACATGACATGCATCATATCATTAAGTCTTTAAAACAACTCATGAGGTAGAAATGTTCTTCCTGTTTGCTCAGGGAGATGACGTGACCTTACCAACGTTACCTTGGTTAGAGGAAGCAGAATTCGCACCCAGACCCCACCCACAGTCTAATCGCTGTACAGATTAGGAAACTGAGGCTAAGAAAGCCTAAAACGGGTCCAAGTGCATCCACACAGAGTGACTGGGGGAGGATTAGAGTCCTGAATTCCAACTTAGTGCTACGTCCATGGCACCATGTTGGTGGTTGCACAGACTGTTCTAGAAAAGGCCGACGGTGGCCCCGTTCTGTGACCCAAGCCATAAAGGAAATAAAAGATGACAGTTTCCACCAGACAACTTATATTACAGGGAAATGACTTAGAAGTGCCAAAAACATACAGTAAAATGCCGGGGGATGGAGCATAAGATTAGACGTGTGCCCGTTCGTTCATACTTTCATTTATTTGTTCACTCATTCAGTATTTCACCTGATCATTCTTCGCTTTTTTGACCCTTCCTTCCATTAAGAAAAGGGAGAGGTGAATGAGGTTGGAAGAGGTGAGCACGATTCTGGAAACAACCGACGGTGCCAGTGGGACAAGTAGGGGCATGAAGGTGACAGGGAGGGAACGGCCCTCCTGGTTGGGAAATCCTCCAGAGACCGGAGGGGAGCGGGAGCCTGGGGGAGGGAGATGGCAGGCCTAGCTAACGAGGGCTGAGGACTGTTTGGAAAACTACCAGGGCCTTCCCTGTCTGCACCTCCAAACACAGCTGGAGACCACCACCGCTTGGATACAATTGGCGATGGGAGAACAGTTTGTTGCAGAAACAATTAGGACAGGCGCTGGGAAGAGCCCATTAGCAATCAAGAGAGTCTGGCCAAGAAAAACAGGGCCTCCCGCAATCCCGCTGCAGCAGGGCCAACAAACTCGGGGGGGATGGAAGTGAATTGGTTCCACCACAGCACCCACACCCCCGTCTTCCCAAGGCAGGACAGGCGTCCTGAAGACAAACTGCAAGGTCCACGTTGGCTGGTCTGTAACGGGCACGCTGCCCCCGCCAGCAGGAAGCTCTCTCCTGGGCAGGGAGCCGCGTGCCCTCTGGCGCATCTGTTTCAACCGTGTGCCTCTTTGCTCCTGCAACTGGTCAATCCGAGATCGTCTGCATAGCAGGATGATTTAGGAGACGGCGAGGCCACTCGATACAGGCGTTTGGCCTGGCAGCCCAAGGGGAGCTTTGGTAAGAGGTCATAACTGTGCTACAGCTCTAATGACATTCCTGTTTTCTGTGACGTGGAGATTTTAGAGCCAGGGGTCCTCACGCTGATCCCAAAGCAAAGGCAACACGCTGATGTCAGGATTGACTAACAGGAGAAGGAGAAACCAGCCCGGGCTCTGGGATTCCAGGGAACGCTGGCGGAGCTGTGCCCTGGTCCCTCTGGCCACTGTCACGTCCCAGTGTGCTTTTGCTCCCAGCGGTCTGGACCTTGAACTCTTCTCCTCAGGACCACCTTGGGCTACTGGAAGCCACACTCCTCACACTTGAGAATAAAGGAGAAGTTTGCATCCCTCCAGGGCAGCTCTGAGCTGATACGGGACCTTTTTGAAGTGTAACTGACACTTACAAGTTTCCGTGTGAAATGAGGCTGAAGGTAGCCTCCCAGGGCTTTGCCGGAATCTGATTTCTC